GCTATTAATCAAATTGAAAAGTCCTTCCTGCAACCTATCCAATATCTTGTCCATTTGGGTGCTTTTCTTTTTCTACACACATTTCAGTCGGGCCTGCACTTCTCCTTTTCAACTTTATTTGATGAGTTTTCAGCTTGGTTACAGCTCACAAAGTTCTGTCGCTTTTGACGATGTGATTTTCCATGGTAGCCCTTATCCCCTTAGGTCAGGCTCATATGTGGGCTATTTCATAGACTTTTCATGACCAGTGGAATTTTGCAGGGATCCATAATTATTACCCGTGTTGTCGATTGGCACTGGTGGTTAGATATGACTCGCACATCAGTAGGTGTCCTGCTTCCTCATCCACATCTGGTTTTCCACATTTCATGGATGCATCCCTTCGAGGATGGGGGCATGGGTTGATCAACTGGAAGAATCTGGAATTTTGGTCTGTGGTCAAGAGGTCTTATCCTGTCAACACTTGGGAATTTCTTGCTGTAGGTCGTGTTTTGGGTTCATTTTCTTCATCTGGTAATGATCCATTCCAACTTATCTTCAGTGGTTGCTTATCTTCATCACAAGGGTGGTACCAGTTTTCTATCCCTCTGAATACATTGGATCTTCTTTTTGGGCCCACACACTCGATATTCTTATTATTGCATAACATGTTCCGGGTGCTTTCACTCTTGTCTTGGATCAGATTTCTGTCCAAATAACATTTATCTGACATTGTGGTCTCTCAATCCTTTTGTTTTCTAGTGGCTTTGACTTCAGTGGGGTACTCCTCACTCCTCGTCGACTTGCTCTGGCTATCGATGTTTTTAGCCAGGTTTGGACCTACACATTTTTCTATCCTCCCATTCTCTTTCTTCTCTGAATGATTTCGTTTATCCTTGACACTCCGTATTCAGTCCTTTGGATAGCTCTTCCCTGGCTGTCTCAGCTGTGGTTTCTGTGGCTTCTCCAGCTCCAACTTCCTCCTCTGTTATCTTTTCCTCTGTCTCTGTCCCTTCTTCACCACCCTCAATCACTGATGTTTCATCCAGACCTTCCTGTCCTCTGTCTTCATGCCTGGTTTTCCTATGGTCATTGGCGATGTGATCTGGCTTCTCCCGACATTTACCCTCTTTTCTGGCTTGTTTCATTCACCCTTCCCTGGAAGTTTCTCAATGCAAATGGAATTTTTCCATCGTTGATACTTCTTCAGTCATGCATGTGGACTACCCATGGTACATTCATCTCTCACTTGTTCTGATCATGGTTTTGTTTCTC